TTTTTGATGCGTCATACAGAAAGATGGCACAAAACACATCATTGGCTTTGAAAAAAGAAATCTCATCATGAAGGGTTTGGTTTTGGTCACATAGACCACCGGCCCACCCAGGGTCAGGAGCTCGTGTTTTCACTAGAGATCAGTCAGCAGTAGCCAAAAAGGCACAGACCGGTCAATTGCTTCTATTCGCAAAAGATTAAAGGAGACAAATCCTCCAAGCAGATAACAAAGTCCCGAATATAATGCTGGAAACGCAATTCATTTTGCAGTGTCGTGTCATGTTGCAATAACATCTCAATGGCGAGGTGAACCAGGTTTCCCGTGACTGACTGGAAATCAAAATCAAATCAAAGTTTATTTATCAAATGCACAACAGTACGGCGTGCAGCAGTAGTTGCTGGCAATGAAATGTCTTTTTCTGCGAGCTCACAAAAATCACAAAATTGAGGTTACATTTTTGAAATGGAATAAAACTCAAAGTGAGTAGAGCTGCTATGTGTCCATGGTGTGTGCAATATATACATGTAGTGCAGTTATGCTGCATATAGTGAGAATTGTGTGTCCATGTAGCCATTACAGGTGATTTGCTAAGGAGCTGCAGGTTGGCTATTTAGCAGTCTTATTGCCTGGAGGTAGAAGCTGTTCTGTAGTCTGTTGGACCTGGACCGAATGCTTCGGTACCGTTTACCAGACGGTAGGAGGGAAAACAGTTTGTGACTGTAAGAGCTCTGAGTGCAACGAGCTTTTGCACGTTTAGACTCGAGGCTGAGAACTGCTGTACTTGTTCATCTGTTCTCGGTCACGGTGGAGTGCAGGTGATTCTTCACTAGCTGAGGGGCTGACAATCTCCGTTCACATGTTGCGCTGCTGACCGGCAATACCACATCTACTTTCCATCACCGGAACAGCTAAAAAAACAACCTCTTTGTATGGATCCACAAAGTTCAGAAATTCCCACAGACTGGCTGGATGGTCTTTCCCGCTTTTTTCCTTGTCCAGTGCTCTCCAGCTCATGTCTGAGATCCTCAACATCTGCTCCATATGCGTTTGCCAATAAGAGAACAGCCTCCTCATTCGAAAACCTCCTGCTGGATGGATTGAATGCCTGGATACCCTTCATGACCTCACAATTTGAGTTGGAGAAACGCCTTTTCATTTCACCAATCATTATACTTGAACTCAAAAAGACTGGTTCTGTGTGCTGGCCAAGAGTGGGTGTGACGAGTCTACCTTGAAGTCTACTTGTTTAAGCCCCTCCTCCTCTGTCCCCAGTTACTCTCACTAATGCTGTAAACTCACTTCTGCTGTAGTTAATCACAGATTCATTCAATAATTAGTTGTGTGGGGGCCAGATTGTATCAGACAGCTTACCTTTGATCCACACCATGTCTGGATCATTCTTGTATTCCCGGTGCACCGGCATGTTCTGTGTCTTCTCTCCTGCGCCTGAGGTTTAGCGCTCGACTCTTGACATCACATTACCTCGTCCTGTTCCCACGGCCTTTTAGGAGCGTGCTTCCTGTGTGGCTTCTGCTCCAGCCCCCTCCTGTCTGCTTACTGTACCGTTCTGTGACTGCAGCTCTTGGGGCAGGGT